GATGAATGAATGCTTTAGTGAGTGCATAAAGAAATTAAAAACAAAAATGCCAAATGGCAGCTGTGAATTCGAAATGAAACAATTTATTACGAGACTCTCAAATGACATAATTGCTTCCACTGCTTTTGGAATAAATGTTAATTCATATCAGGATCCAAATAATAAATTTTACAATGTGGGTCAATCAATTACTCGTTTTAGAGGATCACAAATGTTCAAGTTTATGATTTCGAATGTAGCACCTTGGATTCTAACGGTAAAAATATTTTTATATAGTACTACATCTATTTTTAATAAAACTTTTTCGTTCAAAAGTATAGACATTACATATTAGGAATGTTTCAATAGCAAACGTTTTCAAATATAATTATAACAAAAATATTTCAGTGCAAACAAGTATTTAATGAAATTTAGCTGAACCCAATCACCTTAACGCTTATTCAATCGTAATAGATAAACTGAAATTGAGTGTAAGCTATAATACGTCATATTTGATTTCGTCATATTTGATATACATTGTGACCGAAAAGTTTCCGGAAAATTTTAAATAAAACGCAAAATTCTTAATCTTCATCAATATTTATTTTATCTCCTCAAAATATGCTCCATTAGAGCGATCACATGCAACGTTTTTCCAATCATCAAAACTTTTTATAGGCGCTTTCCGGTATGGCTTTGAGTTCCCTCTGCGAATTCTGTTTTACGTCTTCTATGGATTCAAAACGCGTTCCTCTGAGTGGTAATTTGAGGTTGGGAAACAGGAAAAAGTCACACGGTGCAAGATCAGGTGAATACGGTGGCTGTTCGATGGTATTTATTGAATGTTTGGCCTTAAAATCGTTGATAATGTTGAACAAATTGAGGTGAATCGGAACAAGCCGGGCGTTGACACGTCGCATACACAAATTGTCCACCAAAATCAAACGAGCCATCTCACGACCGATGCCTAGCTCTCGTGCTATCTCTCTAACACTCACATGAGGATTTTTGAACACGATTTCCTTTGCCTTTTCAATGTTTTCGTCGGTGGTAGAGGTCGAAGGTCGTCCAGAACGCGGCATGTCTTCGACGGTCGTACGACAGTCCTGAAAGGCTTTGTACCACTCATAAACTTGAGTTTTCGATAAAACTGATTCCCCATAAGCCTTTTGTAGCATTCGCAACGATTCTGCACACGAAATTTCGTTCGAAAAACAAAATTTGATGCAAACTCTTTGTTCAATATTTTTTTCCATTGTTTTTTTCGCAACGCACTACTGAGGTGAACTGGTTTCAACAGCTGCCGTAAACGAACTGTCCGACAGATCGCGTCATTTTTGCAGTAATTAAGGACAGTGCTGCCAAACTACATAAACTTAAAATATCGAAAAATATACAGCGCGCGAATTTTAAATGAGAATTTCCGAAAGCTTTTCGGTCACAATGTATGCGTGCACTTAATTATAAGCAAAAGTAGTTTGTGACACACTAAATACTTCTCATAGAGATATGAACCAAATTTTAAACGATTAATTATCAAATAATTTTCTGAAATTTACATTGAATGCGAAGGTTAGGTTTAGCTAAATTGTCTGGCGGTAAGTCACGCATAGCCCTAGCAGTACCAGATGGGGTTAAATGTCTGTATAAATTTTATAGTAGACACTTTGCAGAACTTATTGAGCTCTATTTCTGTAATAGAGCCACCAAGCATTTTTTAAAGAAATTTTTTCTTGACCAGGCTTCAATGAGGCTTGAACACAAATCTTGTGAGCACATCAAATAGAAAATTTGCGGAAAAAAACTTTCTATCTACAAAAATTTTAATATTTACTTTTAAATAAATAATTTTTTTTTAAAACTGTAAAAGGTACTATACACTTAACGAATAAATTTCATATTGTTGTGTAACTACGATAATAGCTCGTAATAAGCTAAAGAGTAGCACCAGCTACAAATATTTTAGAATTAAATTAATAGATAATTTTCTTTTCAGTACCTTGGCATGAAAATTTTCGATAAAGAGAAGACAGATTACTTTACTCGCCTTGTTATTGATGCCATGAAATACCGAGAGAAGAATAACATTGTACGTCACGACATGATTCAACTATTACTAGAAGCTAAGAAAGATTCTGCACAGCACTGGTCTGATGAAGAAATTGTTGCACAATGTTTCATCTTCTTCTTCGCTGCTTTTGAGAATAACGCAAACTTGATTTGTGCGGCAAGTCATGAATTAATGTCAAATCCTGATGTTCAACAACGTTTGTATGAGGAATGTCTTGAAATTAAAGAAGAATTACAAGATCAACCGCTGAATTATGATATAGCAAATAAATTGAAATACATGGATATGGTGCTCAATGAAACTCTCCGCAAATGGTCTTTCGCTTCATTCACTGATCGTGTTTGTTCTAAGGATTATAAACTGACAGACGAAGACGATAACTTTGTTTTTGACTTTAAAGTTGGTGATCGTGTTTGGTTTCCACTTGGGGGTTTACAAATGGATGAACAATATTTTGAAAATCCTGATGTGTTTGATCCAGAACGTTTTAGTGATGATAACAAAGGAAATATTAAACCATTTACATTTCTGCCTTTTGGTGCAGGACCTAGAAATTGCATAGGTATAATTCTATTTTTTGAAAATAATGCTGTGATGACGTTGTATACGTATTTGTTTATATATTTTATATTTTTTAATACTAAATTCTTTACTCTAGGTAATCGTTATGCATTGATGCAGGCAAAAGCGATGTTATATTATTTAGTTATCAACTGTAAATTGGAACGTTCGGAGAAAACTGTCAAAGATATTTTCAATGATATGCGTGGCTTTAATGTAAACCCGCAAGGAGGTTTTTGGATACGCTTCGTTTCGAGAAAGTAGCATAGCAACTCATTGATTATGCCTAACTTTATCTATAAATGTTTAGTTCTACAAATTTTAATCAATTTATTTTATCGATCGTTATTGGTGTACACAAAGACTTATCTTTTGTTAATAAGAAGTACTTAAAAATAAAATATTTTGTATAAGACATTTGTAATATATATTAAAGTTATTGATAAGAATATATTTGGTTTGGTTTTGTGATAATTATATTTGATATGTTATTTATATAAATACAATATTTATAATTTAATAAATATAAGCATATATACATATATCAGTTCGTACATAATTTGTATATAATTTGTAAATTTTCTTTTTCAATTTATAATAGCATTTTAAAATATTTGTATATATTTTAATATACGGTAATATTGTAAAGAGTAACAGTAGCTTTATTTATCTTGAAGACAGATTATTTTTTCAATATAACGTTTAGAACAAAATAAAATACAACGTACTGACGTTTAAAAAAAGCATAAGGTTCGGTAAATAAAATTGAATTTCGAGCAATAGCTCACTATAATCTTGTATTCTCTATATAGAAATAATTAGGACAGGCATTGAAGACTTTTCTTTAATGTGATATAATATTATAAAAATAAATTATATATAGTAAATAAAAAAAATTTAGACATAAATATGAAATTAATGTAATTAGAGTATTATATAATAGGTTTTCAATAATCTATAAAAACTCCGATCTCTTTTAGATAGATATAAACAAAAACTAATTCGATTTAGTTGTAACCAGGCGTTGCTTTATTTAATTTTTTTTGAGTTGCTTATTTCTGCTCTTCTTTCTCGTTTCCTTAGGCTGACCAAAGGAGTAAGACAATCAATCGCACTTTCACAGTTACCAGAAAGCAACATTTGGGGTGTAAGTGCTTTTATACTGTTTTGGCTAATTCGTTTCTCACAAAACCAGTCGCCAAAATAAAAAAGACATTTTAATAGACATTTTAATTGGAAATTCTTTAATCCTCTTCCCCTACTATAGCAATAACATTAAAACTAAAATATTACATTCAATTGCATATATGTACATTCAATTGCATATCGAAGACTTTCCTATAATTGAGTCCATCGTCCTAAAACATATAAATGGGTTGCACTTCTTCCTCCATACCTACTTTTGTATTTTAGTAATTATTTAAGTAATTTTGTTGATAAAAAATGAATACAATAAATATTGAGTAACAAGGCTATTGAGATGAATACTATTAAATTGCATAATTAAGGCAGTCTATACAACTACGCTAAAAAATTAAATTTATAATTAATACTTTCTTATCTTTTGTTATTTAAGTGGTGGTAAAATGATGTGATAAAAATAAATTAAGTTATTCAATTTATTTGTAATGCATTAATAGAGTCACAAAAACCGTGTATACATTCAGTGTAAAATGTACTGGGAATTTTTAAATGAAACGATCTTCACTCAAATTAATGCTTTAAATCAGGGCTGTTCAAAGCACGTCCCGCGGTCCACATGTGGCTAATGTTTATGCGGCCCGCGACATGTTCTTAATCTATTACAATTACCAAATTTTCTTTTGATAATGGTAAAACATTATTATTTTATTTTTATGGTATACCAAATACATGAAATTAAATTTATATATAAATAAAACTAAATTTAACATTAAATCCGTATTTCAATCTCTACAGTGATTTGTATTGGCCCGCGATCGCATCTGGTCTGGATAGGACTGCTTTAAATTAAGCTTTTCCTTTACTTTTTTAATTAAAAGCATTTGATTTCGATCAGTTTTTTAGTTGTCAAATTTTTAATGTTAAAGATAGAAGTAGAGGAATACAATATACACACAATATATGAACTTTTGGAGAATGAACTTTTAGATTCTTTACAAGAAGTTGCCCAATATGAGTTTTCTTCATCGATTAAAATTGAGTTTATGATACCTATGATAATAAGTATCATAAAGTTATAATATATAACGGTACTTCTTATTTTGGAGTCACACGATTTTCAAGTATCTGTTATGAAAAGATGGTAGTTTGTTTACATATATGTATTTTCCATTGAAAACTCGATTCATATCAACTTCTTCAATTTCATTTGGATTAGATTTGATTCACTCGGTGTCTACACTGACTGCAATTTGTGAGAACTTTTACGTTCAAATCCAAATACGTATTTAGAGAAATGATTTCTAGAAATATATGTTATTAATTGTTATTACCTAGAACTCTGCAGAAGTTTTATTTGTTGCTTTGACAATATTATTTATTAAGTACAGTGTTGTTATTTTGAAAATATTTAATGTAACCAATTTGGTTTTTCGATTTTAATGCTTCTAAGTATAATATTATTTAAGACAATGGCAAATTCCCTGGGGCCGCAAGTTCAAATTAAAAAAATTTTTTGATCGATATATTTTATATATATACATATCAAAGAAATCTTGGATTGTTTATTTCTTGTCATAAAGACCAAATTATTTTAATTGATTAGGTTGGATTTCAATTTCGGTTTTACAGAGTAAAATGGGAATTAAAATACGATATTTTGTAGATTTGCACTAAAAAGCAATATCTATATTTTCTAATAGTTCTGTATTTGAAATATGGTCTAATATGATTGAGTCTTCCTTATATTCTAAATGAATTTGATCGAGTGTTTGAATGATTGATGTTCATAAATGAAGGGCAGTCAAAATTCAAAGTTTTAGTAAAATTTGTTGAAAATTGTGGCTATTTCGAATCTTATGGTTTCTGTTTAAGGAAATTTAGAGAGCAAAACTCGCTTTAATTATATTATTTGTTGCATAAAACAGCAATATGATCAGAATATATTTCAATCTAAATTAATAAACCCGACATTCATGATTATTTCAAAAACCGTTTGCAAAATTTCTTTTTATTGCCAATTTTAGAAGTTGCGAGTCAATATTAGATATGCCAAAGTTCGGCGTTTAGAGCCAAAATCATCAAATAGAGTCAGAAAAAACTATTCAAATTGAAGTAACCATTAAAGAAAATAAATATTGTTATTCAATAGACGTTTCAATTAGAACCAATAATATTCAATTTACCATTATTCAAGTCGTTTTTTTTATTTTTATTCTTTGGGTCGTGTTGGTTAAGGTGCCCTGATTCTGAGCTTTACATTTGGCAGGGCCCGAATTCAATTCCTGGTACATGCAGTCTCGAAAAATAATAATTTTTTACGAATAATTAAATATAAGAATTATTTCCAAGACCACTGATGATGGGTATTTGGCAATACTCCAAATAGCTGTGTGGTCAAAATTCAATTAATTTTTTTTTTAAGCTTTGCAATTATATTTAACATAGTAATTAATTACTTTGGTTAATTAAATTTGTGTCTCTTCAAATTTTTTGACATAAAGATTTAAATTTTATTTGTCCCAAATATAATTAAATATTAATAATAAATAATAAATACATAATATTAAATTATATAAAAGGTAATTTTTTACAATTATACAAATTTTAATTAAGTTTTTGATTTATATAATTTCATAATTATAAAAATCTTTTGTTAATTTTAATTTTAGCATAAAATAAATGGCACATAAAATAGTTTTTGCAGATTAAATTATTATAAATAATTGCGGTTGCAAAATTTGACATCCTTTATAACTGAATTCAATGATATGAATTATTTGTTTTAATACTACATACTTATATACAAGAAATTAAGAAAAGTATTAGCTTTGACTTTGTTGTATCATTGATGTACTTCATACATAAAATTGTATAATAAATAACTTTAAAAGAACTTTACTAATTTTGTGATACTATCATCATATTAGTTAACATTTTTTTTATATAAAGCTCAACATAATTATATATCAAAATATATACCTACACTCATAAAAATCACTAATCGATAATGTGTTCCAAGAACTCAAAACTTGAGAGATTATCTACAGACACGTCTGGATTGACGACATTATTCAATTCCACTTTTGCAGAATATATTTTATATATAATTGTAGACACACTCTTCACTACATTACAAAGCCAGTGACAAACTTAATATAGCATTGATTCACAATAGTATGAAGAGTGAAGTAAACAATTAATTATAAAATTGAATAAAGTGGCTTATCTTCGTTATTTATTGAAATGCATCCAGGTGAAAATGAAGTTATTGCATTGGGATTAAACAAATTAAATAAATAATAATTTTTTTATTGCATATAATTTAATTAAATGAAATTAAAGCATTCATAAATACAATCATAGTATGCGAACATTCATTTACTCAGTTAATTAATATTGTATTTAATAAAATGCTTATTGCCATTGTTTTCAAAATCCAGGGACGAATTTGTTTTTCTTGGGTTTGGTGTTTTTGCTTTGAGTTGAATTTATATCTCGTAAGACTGAAATTTGATTAGAATTATTATACATATTTATTTAAATTGACTTAATAAATAAGTATTACGCAAAAGTATATAATGACTTGTATTAGTCATAACCTTGTGAAAACTCTACATTTGTTAATAGAGGGCCTCGATTATTTTCCTGTTGTCCATTGTAATAACGTAAAAAACTTCGCAACACGTTTAGTCATTTCATTTATCAATTCTGTAGTATATAATATATATTTGATCAGATTTTTATAAAGTCTTCAATTTATGGATTATATTATTTTCAATTTAAATATTTAATATTTTAATTCTTTTATGAGTCATTACCAACGTATTTGGATTTAAAGAAAAAATTTTAAATTCTTTTGTCTTGGATACTAATCTGCTGTCAAGAGGCGAATAGTAAGGCAGTGACAAAGATCATTGTATCGATTCAACATCATCCACAAGATCTTTCTGTTTGCTAAATAAAACTGTGCAAGTTTCAGAAAGTACTTCCCTTTTTTTCCAATAGTGGACTTAATTGTAGTTTTTCGCAGCCAATTTCATACTAAATCCAAATAAGCATCATATATTTTGACAGTTGATATAGTAGGGATTGTTTGTCATTGGTCTTTTTTCAAACGTGGAAAGTAAAAAGCAGCACTTTTTGCAAATTTAACTTGTTTACTAGGCACAAGAAAACATATCCAAAAAGTAGTAAAAGTAGGAAACTAATATTTATGGTATCGTATGTTCATAATTATGACCAAAAAGAGCATAAAATTATAGTCACTATTCTCATTTGACTGTCTGT